GTCCCCGGCCCCCCTTCCACTGCCACCACCGAAGAGTTCACTAACGGCTTCCGCGGGGCGTCTGCAGGGGGGAGGAGACCAGGGGTTCACTGACCCACGGAGCCAGAACTTTAACCACTAGGCCCCTCTCCCACCCAGAGCCAGGAGAGAACTCAGGAGTCCCCCTGCCCTGACCACTAGACCCCCCTCTCTCCCCTCTGCCCCAGGCCAGAGGCAATCCCACAGTCAGAAGGGTTAACTTGGGGAACTCCCTGCCACTGGGTATTAGGAGGTCTAGCCCTCCAAACACCCAGCTGCTGGGTTCTAGTGAGGTTAACCCACAGGGCTTCCTGCCACTGCATGGCAGGGGGTTAACCTGGGGGACTCGCTGCCAATGGAGAGCAGCAGGGTTAATCTGCAGGACTCTTCTTGCTCTAAGCACTAGACCCCACTTCCCTCCCAGAGCCAGGGATAGAACCCTCAAGTCAAGTCAACCCAAGGCGCTTACCCATGGCTCCCAGTCTCCCCTGCTCTAACCACTAGCCTCCACACCCCTCCTGACCCCAGGGCCAAAACCCCGCAGGCTGGTGCCAGGTGACTTACACTTGACATCCAGGGTGGCGAAGGCCTCGAAGAGGAAGGTGGTGTTGGGGTAGGTGACCTGGCAGCCCAGTTCTTGTCGGTCGTTCTCCCGCGAGGGCCGAAACTTGAGCAGGGACACCTGGTTCCAGGTGCCACCCTCCTCCTCCAGCTGGCCAAAGACCTCCTGCCCCTCCAGCCCCTCATGGTACAGCCAGGTCACCACTGGCTTCATGGTGGGGCAGTTGTCTGGTACCACGCACCGCAGCTCCACCTCCGTCTCTGCCACCACCTCCTCGGGGGGCACAATGACAGGTTTGTCTGACAAGGGAAGAGGCTGGGTGAGGCCAGGGACATGGGCCCCAACGGGTTAGACCCCACTCCCCTCCCAGAGCCAGGGAGAGAACCCAGGCATTCTGGCTCCCAGTCCCTGCCCCAGCTCTAACTACTAGACCCCACTGCCCTACCAAAGCTGGGGAGAGAACCCAGGAGTCCTGGCTCCCAGCCTGCCCCCCCCCAGCTCTAACCACTAGAGCCCACTCCCCTCCCAGAGCCAGGAAGAGAACCCAGGCATTCTGGCTCACAGCGCCCCCTGCTCCAAGCAGCTAGACCCTGCACCTTCCAGAGGTCAGAAGACACCCAAATGCCCTGGTGATGTGAGCACAGGGTGCGGGTGGGGCTCTTCCATCACTATTCATGTCCCAGCCTGCCCCCCCCCAGCTCTAACCACTAGAGCCCACTCCCCTCCCAGAGCCAGGAAGAGAACCCAGGCATTCTGGCTCACAGCGCCCCCTGCTCCAAGCAGCTAGACCCTGCACCTTCCAGAGGTCAGAAGACACCCAAATGCCCTGGTGATGTGAGCACAGGGTGCGGGTGGGGCTCTTCCATCACTATTCATGTTGAGCCCCTAGAGGGGACAGGCCCCATGTCCCCTTCCCCACCCCCGTGAGCAGCCACTCACTCCCCTGCCCTGGGGAGAAGCTGGCACCCCTGGAGGGGAAA